CAGCTGGGCACCCTCGGCATCAGCCGGCAGCGCCCTCATCAACTCCAGCTGTCGCCGTGTTTCTCGGCCAAGGGCTTTGGAAACCCTCTCACAGCCGAGCGGAGACAAAGGTGTGTTTGCTGGTTTTCGTCTTGGTTTGTTTTCTTCTTTTCAAGGCAGCTTCAGACGTGGAAGTTTTGCGTGTTTGTCTCTGGTGTGTCGTCTTGGTAGATTCTTTATATTAAGTCACGGGAAGCTGCACAAAGCTCATTTTGACAACTTTGTAGTTTCACATGGGAAGGGGTTTAGCTTTAACTTCCAGCCAGGTATTAATCACAAACATGAGGTGTTAGCTTATAACCTGGAACTATCTGAAACACTTGAGGTGGCTTTAACTATTGGCAACTAATATATATTATAGATATGCTCCAGAATAAAGTACTTGAAATAATGAAACCTGAACTTTGGTGGGGTTTATTTTCTTTCAGGCAGAGGACGTGTCTAAAATCCCAGAGTGCAAAAGATTTCCATGTGTGATGATGGCAGATTTTACTGAAGAGCATACGGTAATGTTGGGCTTTACTAGAACAAAGGAAAGTGTTTGTAAATGGAAAATGTTATAAACAATAATATGTACACTACAGGAATGTTTAGAATATGCCAACTGCTGTTAACAAACACTAGCTGAATTTACAGCTGAAGCATTTCACAATCCAAACAGAAAGGTGTGAGGAAGGGAAAATTTTTCCCAAAAAAACTAAGTTTTCTAAAAATCAAAATTACGATTGTAAAGGCTGCCAGCATAAACACTCTTGAATATTGCATTTATATATAAACTATAGGGCACAGGTTGACAGTGATTTAGAATGTACATTTGTCAAAGAAATGCATTATGCATAATCTATAACTGCTGTGCTTTAATTCTATAAATCATAACTCGCTAAAATCAGTCCTCCAGACTAATATGATTCTAAGATGCTATTCAAGTGAACGCTTAGGTGATAACCTACAATAAATTGTTTCAAAACTTTTCAGTTTGCAACTTGAAGGCAGTTTAGGAAGTCACACCTATGCTTGATGTAAAACAGCCTTTCTTTTGTTTCTGCCTCCTGAAATCCTCAGAAACTTTTCACAATGCTTTGTAAAGTAGATGTTCACTATTACACACAAAGGATTTAATTTTGAATCACACAGCCCTGTTTTGTTTTGGAACTGAAAAAGCAATGTTGCTAGTAGCTGAAGTGAGAACATGGTAACTTTCTGTTCATATAATGCTGGGAAAGTACAGTCTCCGAGCTTTTATGGGTGAGGAGAGAAAGGGACAGGGAGAAGTGCTCGACAGCATGGTGCTCTGTGAGGAAACTGTATTTAACTATTCTGAATAGTTAATTATCCTGAAAGCTTACTTGGTGCTTCACGTTTATCCACAGACATCTTCCCTTAAACCATATCTGTTTTCCTCCCACTTCATTGCATGGGGAAACCAACATGAACATGGGTAGTAGCTTCCTCCCTACTAAATAAGATCTCTTTTGTGTGAATTGCCCGTATTGGAGCAGTGTAGCAAACAGACTGTCTTCCCATCTCCTTTGTGTCTTTTGTGCCTCCTCGGAGAATGAAAAAATCATAGATGAATGCGGGCACTTGCAAGTTCTTTGTGCTGTTTCCATTCCAAGAAATTGGCAAAGACAGTAAATGGTTTATATATCATAGGATCTGATTTTTTTACTCTCTCTCTCTTTGATTCTATGTGTACATGTTATATTGTATAGAAAATGAGAATGTAGAGTTTTTCTAGCTTGCTCTCTGTTAATTAGAAGACAGGAATGGAGATTGCTCAAAAGGAAAATGTGTATGGTGTTGCTCTGTTGAATAGCAAATATTATTTTTTTGTTGGTTTGTTTCATTTGGACATGTAAAAAATAATTTTCAATATGTTAAGCAGCTTACTCAAGGAAGCTTGCATTCCGTGAAGGAGTTGAGCTCCACCTTGAATCACTTACACAAAAATTTTCAGATCACTGTCCTAGTAATCAGCTTTATCAGATGGTATAGTTAATTTTAACTGTGTTCTAAAACTCTCTTAGTTTGAGAAGAAAAATTTAAAGGTATATAGTAGCTTGTACCAATGTATTTGCCTAATATAACTTAATGTAAACAATTTGCCAAAACAAAATGGCTGGGATAAGATGATAAATTAATTTTTGAAATAATTATATTTGTGGGAATTTAATACTTGCCAGTCTCTGCTGTTAGGACAAAAAACCTATAAAAGTAGGATTCTAACTGCACCAAAGTTTACCCCATGTTTACTATTGTGCTGCTAGTGACAGTCAGTAGTAGACTAGAGAGCTATTAGGAAAATAGAAGGTTATGATCAACCTAATTTTTCAATTGCAAGGAAGCCACTCCCTGGTATAATTCTTATGAGTTGAACAGTCATATGAGTTGCAAAATGATCTTAGCTGAAACTAGAGACCTCAATCGAATCTCATGAAAGTTTGCTGTGCAGACTTTCTTTTCTCCTGTTCCTGGATCACAGTGGCTAGCTTATTCTGTCACCCATTCCACAATTTCCATGTGGCAAGCGCTTGCAAGGATGAACAAATAACCAGAGAGGTTAGTATTAACATACTACTGTTGGAATTTAGCATCCAAAATCTGTGAGAGGTTTTACAAGCAGCCAGTTTACTACAGACCATCAAGAGACTTAGTCGGTATCCATGTTTGTAATCACTTTAAAATGTGAATTCTAATACAACGGATTTTCTTTACGTAGGTGTTGTATGGAGGTCTATGGCTGCATTGACACAGTCTTCTTCACTTGTAGTGGTTACAAATGCAGCATGATCTAAGCTTGAAGAAACTAATAGAAGGTTCAGAGTATCAAGAGGAACTGAAGTACGAATTCAACATAAAAGGGGAACTGAGGCACCTGGATACAAATGAGTCCTTTGTTTTCAATTATTACAAGAATACACCTGAGCAGAATCATAAACGCTATCAAGTTTTGGGACATTTGATTACCAATTACATTTATGAGCTCCTGGAAAGAGTCTGCATGCTGCAGAAAGTTACTATCCCTACTGATGCTACAGAGGGTGAGCCAAGAAGTTTCTTTTTCATGAGTGAGAATGCACTAACATATTCCTCTAGCCTAATTGTCCTTCTTCAAGACCGTGGAGTTTTCCGTGCCGGACAGTGGGGGTACAGGACCATTGTCAGAGAGGGCCTGGTGCACGGAACACAAATACCGTTCATCAAAATGGCCCTTCAAACCCATGAAGGAGTGATTGTACTGAATCCTAACGACAACTTTGTTGATCCAGAGGCTGAAAAGGGGAGGTTAAGCTTTTCTACCAGGGAAGAAGCACAGACTTCTACGCAGTCCAGCTGGATGCCCAAGAGGGCCAGCAGCAGCCCCGAGGAGCACACCATGTACGTATGGGATCATTTCATATCAAAGAGCGCAGCCAAGAACGTGGCCTTCATTGCCCATGGCTATGGTGGCTTGGTGTTCGTTGATCTGCTGGTGCAGAGAAAATGGGAGGTGATGAATAAAGTGTACTCCGTGGCATTCATCGACTCCATGCACAACACACGGCACCAGACTAGAAGCGATCCACAAATACAAGAATGGATACAGAAATGCTGCCGAGAATGGGTGTCGAGCAGTAAGCCTCTAGACAGAGCTGTGGGTTCTCCCATGAAAATGAATTGCCCTACTGTCTCTGCTGGAACAGAAAAGCATGATTTAGCACCCTCCTGCTGCTTACGTGCCATCTTTAAGTATCTGAAGAGTTTGCTGAAAGCCAAGACAATAGTTTCTAGGTATTCACCTATTGCAACCAGAAGCAGCACAAGAAAGAAGAGAGGCAATACGTAAAGGTACACTGATTTCATTTTGGAAAGTGGCCTTTTCCTTTCATAACAGCCCTTGCACCTTTCAGTCACCTAAGGACCTTCTTCTCACTGTGGAGCAATTTAGTTCTAAATTTGAAGCTAGTTTGTTTGGTTTGGGGAGAGGCATAAGTACAAATTAACTATTAGGGAAGAAGCACATTGTTGAAAGCTTTAAGCTACAACACTTCAGCTCTCTGTGAAATTTAAAGTTGCACAAAATAAAGATGTTAAGGTATACCAACTCTAATCTGCATCATTTTTTTAAATAAACATTCCGCAGTTTGGCTCTATAATCAAACTAAACTATCGGGAGGATGCTCACTTCTTAAGTGGATAGATTTCATTAGAAGGACAAATCTGGAATATAAAAAGCATGTAAAGGATCTGTTTCCTCCCCACTATACACCATGCAGTGTTTAAAATCTTTAAAGAGCTGGAACATCCACCTTCCTCCTTGAAACATTTACTGTTAAGCTGAACAATGCTTCAGGGAATTACATGCTACTCCCTTCCCTCCATGCAGAGATAGTATGGCCCTATGATACAGTGAGCTAAAGTAACTTTCATGTTAAAGTTAACTAAGGCAATGACATTACTGGGCATGAACTGGTATAGAAATACTCCAGCACCCTGTGATTACCAAACTGATGCAAAAGAATGACACTCTCCGTTTTCTCCCAGCTGTTCAATTTTAGACAGAGGTGTGAAATAGAGATAGTTTTTAAATGTCCACACTTAATGTTTGCAATTTATACAAGCAGAAAATCAAATAACCTTTAAAGCCAATTTAAACAGAACGGTTATTCTGAATTTCCAGTTTAATCCTGGGAGAATCAGAAGTGCTCAGGGGCTGCAAAAGAGCTTTGAAGGATGATAAAACCTTGTCCTACACTTCCAGTTCTCATCTTGGAAAAAAAAAATTTGAACGGTAATACTGGGCACCAGAGAAAAGAGAGAGTCAACTTTCCTTTTGTGTTTATATCCATTTCAGATTTCAGTCATCTCTAATACTGCTTGAAAAAGCTTCCACCCATTATCTAGTAATGGGTGATAGTGCAAAATTCCACTGGAAAACCACAGAGTCAGTTGAATGCTCCTGAGAGCAAGCATAGCTTTTAAATAAAGGTACGTTTACCTTTATTACATCTGAATGAAAATGATACTAAATAGACAATTTAAAACACTTCACAATGGCCGTAGTTCACTTAATATTGCATGGGAGATGCCATCAATTGAGGATGCATACAACCTGCCTGTTTTGTATGTGCTGGTCAGCATGCAATGCAAAGAACAGTCACTTGTGTGGATTCTACACACGTAATTTTATTTACAAGAAAAGTAGAAGGTGACAGAATGTCTGTCTTCAGGAGGAGACCAATGTGATCCTTCAAAATAAATGCTTAAACTGTCCTGTGATGTCAGCAGTGGCTAAAAATGCTCAAAGAAAAAAAAAAAAAGGATCTAGAACATAAGCCATTTCTGTAATTCTTTATCTCAGGTCAATCCACTAAATTCCTTGGTAAAGGAGGTCATATTTAGGGATGTTATTGGGATCAATAGGGCTTCTCACAATGAGCTTTCCACGCATGGCTCCACGGTAAATCACTTCAATCAGATCTATAAAGTCTTGCTTTGTTTTGAAGCTTCCAACAAATTTGGTATGATCTGGAGACCTAAATATAAGCATAACGTAAAGGTAGAATTGTAATGTTAAAAGTATTCAAAGCAAAAACACTTGAAGACAAGAACATATGTATAATGACGTTAGGAGTTCTGGTCATCCCAAATGAACTGCACGGGTAATGGCATAACCAAATCGCGAGCATACTGTCACCTCGAGTCCAGAAAGGTGCACTGTCGTGTCTAAAACTTTAACCATACTATTTCTTGCAATCAAGCATGTTTCACAGCCAACACTTACTGAATCAGAGCATATTTCAAAATACTCCTTATTTTTACATCTTTCTGGCTTCCTACAGAGTTCTCAATGCAGTTATGCTGGTAAGAAGATTATTGTTTTCAAATGTTATCTTCCCCAAACACGGTAATATAAAGACTGGTAATTCTTACAGACGTAACAGATAATGCCAGGCAGGACAACATACCCATAATCCACCTTCATGTGTTGTCCATTGAAAAAAAACACAGTAGATGGAATATAACTGATGTCAAAATACTGGGTGTACACTGGAACCTTGTTCACATCCACCAGGTAAATGACTGCCATTTTGCTTAGGTCATGAGCTGTCTTGGCAAGCTGAAAAAGAGTGAGAAAGGGGGATGACAAATGGATTGAGACACAAGAAGAAAAAGGGTGGCAAGCTTTATAAAGCCCGTTTCTCTTATGTTTTATCAGTTCAAGCAGAGCTAGAGTATCACCTTATCTGCTTCAAGCACTTTGTACACTCACTGCAATGACATAAACATTTGCATACTTTTTGAACTGTTTTACAAATATAGTACTATTTCATTTTACAGTTATCACCAAAATGTTCATGAGACACCGTATTAGCCAAAAGCAACAGATGACTTCTCTTGTATGTAACAGGTATAATAGTAGTTCATTAAATGAAAGAAAAAAAACCACGCTCTTACAATGTCATCAAGCTGCAGACAAACAGCATCGTTATCTCTTCCAAACCGGAGAACCAAAACTTTCTCGGCCACGCTTTTTATTGCCTGATCCACTTCCCTCTTACAGGTCAGCTGGGGCAGCAGAAAACTCATCCTGACAGACCACAGCTTCCACCAGGGTTTCTGAAAACTAGGGAAAAAGCAAGCAAACAAACAAGCAAAGAAACAAACAAACAAACAAAACCTGCGTTAAAAAATAAGTGCAATCTCTCCATGCCTTTAAAAAAACCCCAAAAACCAAACCAAAACCAGAGAGAAATCACAGACCGCCACACCAGGCTCAC